TTGCCACAATGTGTTTATGCTAGAGCAATAAATAAACATACCTTTCAGTCTTCTCTAGGTTTTCGTAAATCGTACATGTTTTTCGAAGAACAGTTTCTCGCTTTTCGACAGTTTTCGCAAAGGAAAATTTGAATTTTTTTTTGCAGTAATAAATATATGTAAGTTCGGTCAGTAAGAACCGATCGCAGGATATTGTGCAAAAAAATGTGCGTATATATATGGGTCATTCTTTTACAAATCGTACACTTTTTTGAACTTTACAATTTTGATTTGTCTAAAAATTGTTTTATGAGGTGTATGCATGAAATAAGCGGACATCTATATCGCGGTTTTGCCTGAAAAAATTATTTTCTAGAGTTATTAGAATTTTGAGTTTTCATAGTTCACTGAGTCTTGACACATAAAAAATTCGGTATCTTCGGTTCTAGTCATCGTATCATATCCGTTCTTTTTCTATTTTGTATATTATTATACCTGCTTTACATGTGCGTACAATTGTTGATCAAATGTGCAAATCCGAAAAAGTTTTTAACAATTAAATTGTTTAAATAATTTTTTTATACTGTTCCCCGCCTTAAATATGATTGAAGAAAATACTACTAGGTTTGGTAAATTGTAATCTAAATGAAACATATTTTTTTGACATGGAATCTTTATTAGATCGGAAGATATAAAATAATTTTGTGCCCAAGTCCTGCATGACGCAACTTTTTTGCGCGCTACTTTTAAGTGTTATTTCGCACTTTAACTTGTGTAGATGTTTAAAAATGTAGTTTCATTATTTATTCTAGCTACGTCTGTAGTGTTTGCGATTCATAATTAGCAAAATATATAAATTAAGTGAAAAAAATGTGCGCACATACATTCTACCGTTTTCTGTTTGCGTTTGCGCTCTGCAGTGGTTATATTTTTATTTGCAAATACTTAAACAAGTTCATCGAATATTCATTATCTATTATAAAACAAGACAGCGAACACTCATGATAATGAATATTGCAATGCACACTCATAAAGCGCTCATATGAATTGCCAGATCGTAGTGGAATAGCAACAAATTAATGCTAAAGTCTTTTTTCACAGTTTTATTTTAACAGATGAATACATCAAGGATGAGAATACTATTCGAAGCCAAAGTATAAAATATTGTAAAAAACGCATTTATTCGCAACAGTATGAACCAATATGTCACATTTATTGTACGATAATAGCTTTTGAGAAAATAATTATTTCATAACTGGAACTTCAAATGAAGTATCCTGTAATGAAAAATGTTTTGCTTTTACTTTTTTCTCTGAAATATAAATTATGCTATGATAAGTCAAAATCTCTTTTACTGTTAAAGCCATTTGAAATCTTGTTTCCAATGTTTTTTCTGCTTTAGAATATTCTTCGTTTTCAACATATTCGAACGAAAGATTCGGAAGAGACTCTGTTGCCCATTCAAATAATTCTTTTGGAGTTTGTATTGGATTGTTCACTCTTTGAAGGCTGGTTCTAGCAGCTAATCTTTTCAAAGTCCCACCTAAACCATCGCACGCGTTTTTTCCATGCGAAGTTGGAAAAAAGTGCCATTCTGCAGTCAAACCAAAATCCTTTTGATGATGAGTTAAATTGACACAATTTTTTTTGTTTTTGTATTGTGCACTTGCACCATTCGAAAAATATGTAATTTTGTTAATATTTTTCAAGTTTTTTTTTAACATATTGTATCAAATATTTTTGAAACACGTGAACGGCTATAGTATCATGATGCAAACATTCAGAAATTATTATAAGACTTCTCATTTGAATTTCACCGCTTTCGTGCCTGAAATAAATTGTAAATGGGTGCACTGTTGCCTGGTTGTTATTCCAGTGAATACCTTGGACAGCATTTTGAACAACAAAGGCATAGTTCTTGGAAAAATCGCAGATAACAATGCACTCATTTTCTGTCAACGCTTCTTTTTTACTGGTCATGAAATCATTTTGTTTTTTTACTAGATACAAAGAGTAATTTTTCTAAACCAGTCTTTAACTTTTGTAAATATTCATCAATTGGAGATATCATGAGTTGCAAAGTGGTTCCATCTACATTTGTCCACTGTCTGTAAGTGATTTCATCGATGAAATTATCCTCAAAAATTTGTTTGATTTTGTCAATGAAATGTGTAGTACCAGGACATTGGGAGAACACTTCCCGAAATAACACTTTGTCGATGCTTCAACGCAAATCATGCATTTCAAACAATCATGGTAAGTTTTTATTGGGTGATGAGAGCATTAGCACTCAGATTTTTCAAGTAAGACCCATCGATCAATAATTTGACATTTTCGTGAATAGCGCAAACACAGACTGAATGAATCCCACGTGCATCTGCTAGCACGCAATGTTTAGGTCGCAAAGCTGCAAATTTGGAGAAACTACACTTGACCTGGGGGTGATTATCCATAAACAATTGATAAAGTTCTCTCAAATTAACTAACAATAATCTTTTTTGCATGTGAATTCGTTCATCAATAACTTTTACAGAGACATAATCCTTTCTCCCTGGCATTAAACGGCTATTATCATCAAGTTCATAAAAGTTAATGATCGAATCAATTACTTCTTTCTCTGAATGACGAGTGACTCTTAAAGTTCGGATCGGCCAAGGTCCCTTTTTCCTCCGCGATTTTCTTCGCGACAGTGATCATATGAACTGTAGCAGCTGGAAAATGAAGTTGAATTTTCCGATAAGACCAATTTTTGCAAATAGTTAAAATTTTTATTCGTTTAGCACGATCATTGGTCGCGTTAAATTCATCTGTCAAAGTTTGCAATATGTAATCTCTATCATTTTCATCAAAGCTAGCGTTCACATTATCAAGAATGTGAAAAATTTTTTCCGCGATTGCTTCAGAATTGTTTTGCATTTTTACAGCCGAATATCGTTTATGAGAAACCTTATTTTTTTTTATTGGCGAAATTCCGATCAAATCCAAACCATTATTAATCGCATCGATGGCTGCAGACATTGCTTCTTTGTCTTTCTCAAATGATACAGCTGTAGAACATTCCGGCAAGTTATCCGTTTCATCATTATTTTTGTCATTTTCAAGCACTTCATTGTTTGTCGTGGGTGTGAACTCAAAATTATTTAATTTTGTGGTCTGAAAAATATGTCGTCGCACGATAATATTTCATCCTATTTGATATATTGTAAAAATTTTCCGAGAACATGAAAAATATAAAAATCAAATATGTATTTCAACATGAATATAGTCTAATTGTTTATAATTAACTGCACTGTATGTATTCAATGTGTTTGATTTTAAAGAAAATTAGTATGTCCAAATAAATAACAGATCATTGTCATCGATAACTGAAGATATTAATATGAAAAATATAACCCATTCAAAAATGTCTTATTATATGAATTGACTTGATGTTGTTTGCATGACTAAATTTTGGTTAACATTTTCTATAACATAATTAATGCGAAAAAATTGACACACTAACCGCGATGATATGAAGTCCATTGTTATCTTCTTTGATTTTCGGTACTTTTAACCGGCACACGTTGCAAATTCTTTGTTGAAGTGACTGTTCGGTTATAGGTATATTTAATGCCGATAAATTTTGTTCCGAAACTTTTCTGAGTGTTTTATAATTCATTATTTTAGGATGAGGAGACAAATCAAATAGATTGAAACATCTATCGGTTCGAATTTTGGAGCCTTTCGTACATTTTAAAGATCTCGGCATTTTTCTGTTCAAAATTTAAGAATTCAACGCAATATTTAAGACACTATGAAAAAAGGAGTCATACCAGTCAACTCCGTTCTTACAAGACGAACTGCGTAGGTACCTTGAATCAACTGTGAAGTGTAAGAAATGTACGTTGAAATGTAAACAGCTCCGATCATCGCGGAAACACATAGTTTCGACTAGCTAGCAGCGGCTCAGACGCCGTGTTTATTCGCCTAGGCAATCCGCTAATTCCAAGTAAGCAAACATTTTCCAGAAACGATGGCGAGGTTTTTTCGTAATGTATGCATACATTTATTATATATATGCATTTTCATGTGTAAATTTTTCACGTGAATTTTTTGAATTAAAATAACAATTTTTTAAATTATATAGGATACTAGATTTGCATCACATATATGAAAGACTCCGTATACCCCCTAACTAATTTTTAAAATATTGCGAAAAAAACTCCTCAGCCAGGAATCTCCGGCTTTCCGGGCCGTTGCCTTCTCTGTTAAGTCACCGAGGCACTTGGAGTTTGTCTCGCAATACTCCCCACATATATACTATAATACCGCTTTCTTCCAGCGTAAATTTAAAAATAATAATTAATAGAAAATTATCTTGGGCTCTTTAAGTAATAAAAATAAAAAAACTAATAAATATATGTAAGTCCGGTCAGTAATTTTTTTATAGATTGTTTTCTAGCACACATACACACACACATATACAATATATAAATATATATATATACAATATATACTATATATACAATAATAAATACTATACATATATATATACAATATATAATAATAATAATACTAACTTTGATAATATCAAATTTCGCGCAAGTGCGTTTGTTAAATGTTTTACTTTATAAATAAAAATGTTGAGGACCATTAATAATTGCATGTTAAAAAGTATAAGTTCTTATGCAAAGAAGTAATCTCTCCCTTCTTTCAAAATTTCATTAAAAAATATCAAGTGGTTCAAAAGTTATAACAGTTTTTCTGAAAATATCGTAATTTCTCGAAATTCCACGAATTTTCCCTGGATTCGCGTAAAGTTTACTTTAAAAGGGCCCGGTGCGTTAATAAACTTAATAAAATATACTTTCTACTTTGCAAGCTGCAAAGTCTTAAAACTGGCATTTCTGGTTCTCGGTACTATTCGATCAGAGTTTGCCACTCTGCCACCAAGCAGTGTTCATAGTTTTAAAACGCATGCTGTAGCAGTAGAAGGGATGCGCATAAAACAGGGAGTAAATGCTTGCTGATGTGCGTATTCTCTCCATCGCTGCTGCATGCTGTAAGCGTCTCAAAACTGTGAACACTGTTCCCAAGACTAGAAATTGTGAGATATTCGCTTCGCAACGCAGTAGTTATATCGTGTGACTTAGTGAATCGGTGAAAATAATCGAACGCTTGTCTCTGAAATGTCACGGAATTCAACGGTGTGAACTCAGTACTGTGTGTATGTAAAAACTTAACTTTTGGAAGTCAATTTTTTTATTATTTATATATTTTTTTGTATTATAATATTATTTCAGTAAATCTTCATAATAAACGTAACGGTTTAAATTAATAAGATACCCACGAGGCAAAACTCGCGTACGTCGCACATTCAGCGCGCACACACATTTCGTTTGTTTCGCGCGAAACTTACTTTATCCTTCTCGTGTAACATGCTATCGACATCGTTCCGTTTTTTTTCTCGCGCGACGTCATTGGTGACGGTCGCAATTTTTAGTCTATATTTATAGATATATCTATGGTATATTTTATATAAATATACAAGAGGCTTTTTACAGTTGTCAGTCGTTTCAAAACATAAATTACAGTACGGTTACTCGTTTGATTGGAAAGACGTGAAAATCCTAGATCGTGAAATTTCCTCCAAACCTGGCACTTGTCGACTAGTATAATAAATAGAAAAATCTTTTTCAGGGATATGAATAATGTGCGGTTTATCCTGCTTGAATTACATGTAACTCATTGAAACTCTTTCCTGCAACGAAGAAATCATCTCTACGTACAAATCCAATCAATATTATAATCACTGAAATATATTTAAGTTACTGAACTTTTGTATTTAACGTTGAACGACTTAAAATTCTTAACAAAATGCAATCTGAGATATTAAGTGAAAAATTTCAAATATTATTGCGGAAATTATTAGAAATTACTAGTTTCTTATTGTTTGCACCGTTTTTTGTTATTATTCTAATGTTTTTACATATCTATCGTCGTTTGATTGAGATTGTGCTAAGAATTCAACTTAGAGACAAATTTGCCGGTCTCTTGGAAGGCTCGGATGCTTTATGGTCCGTCGAAGATACATCTCTATCCTTGATTACTGCCATATTAATAGTGAAGAAAACCGCAGGAAGTACAAATACGATTTTCCTGAAGAATATCAGAAAATTCTTTACTCATTTATCAAAGACTGTTCCCAAGGAGCTCGATAAACTGTTTTACTACAGATATCAAAAGTTTGGTTACTTTTATTGGGAGAAATCAAAATTTAATCCAGAAACCGCGATTAGATGGTTGGAGTGTGAAATCAGTAATTGCGATGGATCTTGCGAGAATGTTCACAGTACAACCTTTCAAGAAAATCTAGGTTTTATATGCAACCAACCGTTGTATGATAATCATAAACCAATGTGGGAGATGCTCATTGGAAGACGTTGTTCCAAATTTTCATCTTATATGGAAGAAGATCCGAGCTTGTCTTCCGAAGATCGCTTCAATACCGATGTTGACGAAATTCCTGTAGTATTTCGCGTACATCATTCTCTTGGTGATGGTATAGCTCTTCTCAAGATGTTGAGCACAGTGATTGCTGACGATGACGTGATAAAAGAACAGTCAACAATAATGCTCAGAAACAGCATCTTGATAGACAAAAAAAACAATTTTAAAGAGAAAAAAATACTTTTTTCGAAAACGAAGATTATTTCAAATTTGAAACAAGTATATAACAAAACAAAAAAAATGATACTTATATTGTTTTCTTTAAAACTCTTGATTTCTCAAATTGTCCGTAGTACGGGTAAAAGGTAAGACAATATTTAATAGACACCTTTTTTCTCAATAGAAATTTTAAATTTTTGTAAAAAGTAAATTGGATAGATATTTTTTATACGTTAAAGAATTAATTTAAAAGTTAAAGAAAATAAAATTATATGTATACAGGGTGAGGTAGTTAAAATAGGCCGCCTGAATAACTTGGAAAATATAAGTTTTATAAAAAAATGGTTAAGACAAAAGTTATATACGGTTTTGAGAAGGAAAACTGATAATCTTATCAATTTAATTACAGATGGCGCCACTTTCGAGATTTTTTTATGACGGTCATTTTTTAAAATAGAAGTCAATTTTTTATTTGAAACAAAAGTTGTAAGGGTGGGATGAATGAGCCGCGCGGAGCGCTTACGCACATCAGGCGCGTGGTTTACTGACGTGCATTCGGTCGGCGTTGATTGGCTTGATTTGTTCAATAATTACTCCTTTATTATATGTAATAGAAAAAAATGGTTCCGGACTTTCCGACTCAGTTTTACTCTTTCTATCTGCCTACGAGAGATTTTAATGTAATTGTCGGACAGTCTGTACATACAAAAATACGCGACAAACATTTAGCATATAGCTCTCAGTGACCAAAATTTCACCTTGTCTCTAACTATTTTTCTATAAAACTTATAGTTTCCAAGTTATTCAAGTGACCTGTTGTAACTATCTCTCTGTATATAATTGCATCTGGCATATCGGCTTGTATCGATATTTAATTGTACATTTTTGCAAGTTTTTACATTGTTTAAATGTTTATATTGTCTGTTTAAAACACTTAGATAAATTAATGTATATATTCATATGTTATAAAATTTGCAATAAAATATGCAAAACATATTTAATTTTCAAAATCATAGTTTTGGATGTTTTTCATAATATTAATATTTACATCAAATCGTAATATGTATCGTATTTAGGTAAACTTAATTTGAAGCTGTGTGTGATTATTATAGCTCTCTGTATAGTCAGCCTTTAACAGGTGAAAAACTAATATTCTGCCTTATGGAAAACGATGCCAATAAATCGCTTCTGATGAAAATTAAAAAAATAAAACAGTACACAGGAACCAGATTTAATGACATAGTAATTACAGCTTTTGCTGCCGGTGTAGTTAAATATTATTCACGCGTAAGTAGACTCAAAAGTAATTGCTCTAAATAAGGCTGAAAATGAAAATAAATGACATCTGAAAAACAGAGACTAACAATAACAGTAATCTTAAAGATTTAATTTAACAAATTCATTGAGTAAAAGTTGATACTTATTTACAGAAAAAACAATCATTATTAAATGTAAAAAAAAGTGTTCGAAAAATGTAATTTGTATAAAATATCAATTTTTTTGTACTCTAGCTTTGAATAACCATTATCGATGACAAAAATTGTTTTTAATTACAAATAACTATTATTGATGTCGAAAATTGTGAGTAACCGTCGCGGAAGTATCGATTCTCGGTCTTCTTCAATCGACAACATAATTTTTAGATTTCTTAGCATATATTTTTGCTATAACATTCTTTATATCTACATTTAGACACAGACTGGCGTATGGACTAACCGATTTCGGTCCAAGAGCCACAAGCGCACCAAAACTATATAGTATTATAATTAATAGAGAACCTTTAGGCTCTGAAGTTTTTAAACTAGAAATATATAGACGATCATAAAAGCCGTTTGCTGGATGTTGTGCGGAAATATGCGTGTATTTCAAAGAATTAAAATCTCAATTCAAAAACTCACGTGTAAGATTTACACACACACACATATATATACAGGGTGTCCCGTAATTGCCGTCTCACCGCTTGTAGGCAAGTAGAAGAGGTTATTCTAAGACGGAAAGTCTTATACCACTTTGGAAGATTTGCAATAATTAACGAGATATGAATTAATAAAGATCCGCTAATTAGCGTGCATCTAGCGTAAGGGGAGCGTAAGGACAGCCTAGTCTTTCTCGCGGATAGCGCGATCCCCGAACGCAGCTTATATGCTGTTTATGTATAGGTGCACACATACTATTCTATTAGCTTCTCCCATTCCACCGCAACGGCACGTCCGCACGAAAGACTAGGCTGTCCTTCCGCTTCCCTTACACTGGATGCAAGCTGATTAGCGGATCTTTATTAATTCATATCTTGTTAATTATCGCAAAATCTTCCAAAGTGGTATAGGACTTTTCGTCTAAGAATAACCCCTTCTTGCCTACAAGCGATGAGACGGCAATTATGGGACACCCTGTATATTGTATATACTATATGTATATAAATTTTACACGTGAGGTTTTGAATTGAGATTTCAATTTTTAAATTTATATAAGATGCTATACTTGCATCATATATATGAGAGACCCCGAATATCTCCCCCTAACTAATTTTAAAATATTGAAAAAACTCCTCGGCCAAGAGTCGAACCTGAAATGTCCAGTTTTCCGTGCAGTCGTCTTTCTTATTTCTAATTTCTAGTATTATAAGTTTTACTATTCTTTTAATATTTAACAAATATATATATTAGTTATTAATTATCAATATTGCTTATCTAACTAACAAAGTCTATAGTTTAGAGACCTTGAGTAATCAAAATAAAATTCCGGTCATCGATAATGATTATTTGGAACCAAAATCATTTAAAGAAAACTATCATTGTTATGCTGAAAAATAAATATATTATAAATATATTTTATAAATATATTATAAAACACACACACAAAAAACCAGAGAGCCTGTAGTTCAGATTGAAGGTGGACGTATAAATATAACATAAAACGCAGTATATTCCGAACGTTTCGATTTTTTATTAGTGTAATAAATTTATATATTATAAATATATTATATATATATATATATATATATATATATATATATGGCTCTATTCCTTTACTATATCTATCTTTTTTATCTCTATTCTGAAGATTTTTGTCTGTTTGTACACACAATCATGATGCAACATATGTTCTTTTATTGATTTACTATATCTATCTTTTTTATCTCTAAATATTTTGAAGGATTTGTACACACAAACATGATGCAACATATGTTCTTTCATTGCTTTATTACATTTATCTCTATATTCTGAAGAATTTGTACACATAAACATAATGCAACATATGTTTTTTTATTGCAGATAAAGGAAGTAATACCTGACGCAATGTCGGTCTTCATACCTATAAGAATGTCTATGCCAGATGAAAAAGTAATGCTGTCTAACGATTTTTCATTTCTTATGATCAAAAGTTGTTTTGTTGATGCAGATAAAAAAAATATTCTAACAGTAAATAAAACTGCCTGTCGATTTCTTGAACGTCTTCAGAAAACTGCATCGATAAATAACAGGATCAGAAATAGTTTAGAAGCATCAGTAAATTTTTTCTTCCTTAAACATGTGTCTGGACTTTTGCCGGCGGAAGTATTGAGATATTGTACTGAATTTTTTTGCACTATGGTGTTTAGTAATGTAATGGGTATGCCAAAAAAAATTCCTATTTTGAAACATTCTGTCGACAACATACTGTTTTCGATACCGAACAGGTATTGGATATCATTATTCTTGAGTTTGAACTTATACGTAAAAGTATAAAATGTAGAGATATTTAAAGTGATAAAATATTAAAACAAATCATATTACGATTTATATTTTCAGAGGTATAACTGGGTTGGGATTAACTACATTGACATACGATGACAAAATAAATCTGTGTTTAGTAGTTGATAAAGCAATAATAAAAAATAGAAAACTAATCACAGAAATACTAAAAGAGACTGTACGTGAAATAGACTATGCGTACAACAGTCTCGCATAACTTTCGGAGTCATCAGACAGTAAAGACACATATAGAAAAAAATGAATATAATAAAAATTTTAATAAATTCTTGATTATATACTTCGATGTTTTGTATCTGACAAATAAAATAATATCTATTATTACTACATAAGTCGTTTAGACAATACAATATGTATAAATTAATTTTATATATTGTAGGCATTAAAATGTTTTAAAATGTAAACAGTTATAATTGTGAGCATATTTTATTTCTTTAGTGTGTTGTGTACGCATGCATGCATACACATAAATATCCACCTATCACTTTAGAATTTTTTCCGAGCCAGTTCCTTCGGATCGAATTTATCGATTAGAAAACAAACTGAATCAAGTTTGCATAATAATTATACATATATTAATTTTTGTATGATTATATATAGGATGTCCCATAATTGCCGTCTCACCACTCGTACAAACATTTAACTACGCGGTTATAAAGCCTATAAAAGACCATGTAACTTTTATTTGAAACAATTTGTTATATCTCTTATCGTTTTGACAAAATTCGTATAAAAAGAGAAAAACTGTTTTTTTTTTGTCAAAGAAGTGTCATCCTCAAAACGTGCAAGAAAGCACATAAAAAAAATACGGGTCTCTTATTTTTAGCTACTCTATAACATATTTGAATCTCATCAAAATCGGAGAGAGACACTTGCGTCACTTCCCTTGTATAATAAGTTACACTTGTAATGGGGCAAACCCCATCAATTATGTATATATATGAGATTTCTCACTATTATTATCTTTATATTACTATTATTTTTCTTTATATATTATTATTATTATCATTATTATTATTATATTACTATGTACATAAAGATTTCTTTGTATTTTTCTATTATTATAAGTATTAAATATCGCGTTACTGTCATATATTCATTGTTATAAATAATACTCCCGCTATAGTTCCTGCGACCTGCTTATAACCGACCGCGAAAACGAAGCACACGTGCGCGTCGACCCGCCGCGCTATAATACCTGCAACTTGCCTATAGCGGCACCACACGGACACGCACACGTTAGCCCGCAGGTGCGTGCCGCAGCGCGCAAACAACCACGTTCCACACGCCGACCCCGGACGGACCATAGGCCTCTCCGGGGTATAAAAGCCGGCCGATTTCAGCAGTCAGGAAAGGAATAGGTCCTGACCAGAGATGCGAGATCGCGCCGGACAGCATGGAGAGTATCGAAGCGGGGTATCCCCACCGCCTCAATGCTGTCGTACGCATACAAGCGAGAACCGCACACGGACGCTGTTTTCGCTTGTATGCGTACGAGAGCATCGAAGGCGGTGGGGATACCCCGCTTCGATACTCTCGATGCTGTCCGGCGCGATCTGGCATCTCTGGTCAGGACCTATTCCTTTCCCGGCGCTCGAGGTGTTGACTCAAAATACCGTTTGCAGCGTTCCGAGGTGTTGACTCGGCTTCCGGCATTCCGAGGTGTTGACTCGGTCGCCATACCGACCGTTCCCGTCGAGGTGTTGACTTGACTTCCGGCATTCCGAATTCCGAGGTGTTGACTCGGCCGCCATACCAATCGTTCCCGTCGAGGTGTTGACTCGACTTCCGGCATTCCGAGGTATTGACTCGGCCGCCTCGACTCCCGACTGCTTCCGTCGAGGTATTACCTCGACTTTCGGCGCTCCGGCGCACAATCGCCACATCGTTACCCAGTCATTACCCTCACGACTCTCGGAAACAATCGTTCTCACGACTCAACTCCTTCACTGTATATAAGACCCGTGTATACAAGGAGTCCGTGAAAATTTGACACAGCCGAAGTATAGAGATAGAGTGAGTGAAACTGAATCGAAAAGTTATTTGCCATTTTGCGAAATTCGCAATAGTTATTGAGATATGAATTAATAAATGTGAACCAATGAGCGCGTGAAAAGCAATAGTCCTAACTCTGTAGGCGTGTATGATTGTCAGTATAAGATTAATGGCATACATCTGTATTCGGCGGTTCGTAGCGAAGCGAGCAGCGCTCGAGGGGAGGTGAGAAGCCTCTGCTCTCCGCAATCAGCTGATCGACTCTTATTGAAGAGTGGTGCACTAACTGGTTCATGATTGTGTACGAGACAACCACTCTCGCGCAATTGTTGCACTACACGGAGAATTGTTTGTTACATCGCATCGATCAGCTGATCATCGGAGAGCAGAGGCTTCTCACCTCCCCTCGAGCGCTGCTCGCTTCGCTACAAACCGCCGAATACATATGTATACCAGATGTATGCTATTAATCTTATGATGACTGACAATCATACACGCCTACAGAGTTAGGACCATCGCTTTCCACGCGCTCATTGGTTCACATTTATTAAGTCATATCTCAATAACTATTGCGAATTTCGCAAAATGGCAAATAACTTTTTGATTCACTTACACTCACTCTATCTCCATACTTCGGCTGTGTCAAAATTTCACGGACACCCTGTATATGTATATGAAATCAAATTTATGTATATGTATGTACACTCAAAGCATAGACGTATAAGAAATAGACGCGCGTGTGAGAGGGGAAGTGAGTCAAACTTCGGAGTGAGACAGATGCTTTCACCCGAGTCTCTGTCTCTGTCTTTCAGCACCTGGAGTGGGGACTCCCCACTCGAGAGACAACTCAAATAACGCTACGTAACAGATTCTACGTAACGGCTTTGGTTAGAAACCAATTCTGTAACATTTCTGTTATTTTTTGTATTATTTATTATTTTTCACAAATGTATAATTTAAAAATATAATAATGGTGCACTATATGATTTAAAAATTAATGAACTATTTGTTAAATCAGAACATGCTTTTGATCAAGCTCCGTTAATGGATCATAAAAGTCAAGTAATTCGACTTTT